GCTTTACATAGATTCCCGAATGGTTATTCAATTTTTGAAGCTGGAGGCTGTTCAGATCACATGAGATGTAGGGTCCAATTGTCTCCACCTAAAGAGAAAATTCGTAGGCCGTTTAAGTATGTTAATGCTACTGGAAGGTTACCAAACTTTCTCCCTATGGTGAAGTCTTTTTGGGAGACAACAACTCCTTTATTCCATTCTACGTCGGCTATGTATAGGTTCTCTAAGAAGTTAAAGTGCTTGAAGCCTCTTATTCGTGAGTTCAGTAGGAAAGAGTTGGGAAATCTTACAAAACGAGCTAAGGAGGCATTTGGTTATCTATGTGAAAAGCAGCAGGTTACTTTATGTAATCCGAGTGAAGAAGCAATTATAGAGGAAGGAAGTGCTTATGAGAAATGGCTTCATGTGGCAGAGCTTGAAGAAGATTATTTAAAGCAGAAATCAAAACTTCATTGGTTGGATAAGGGGGATCAGAATAACAAAGTGTTCCATAATTCCATCAGATCTCGCCAAGCTCAAAATACCATCAGTGAAATCAAATGTCAAGATGGTCATGTTGCTACTGATCATGAGGATATTAAGGTTCAAGCAGAGAATTTTTTTGCTGATTTCCTCAATAGGAAACCTTTAAATTATCGGGGGTGTTCAGTTGAGGAGCTCCAGAATCTTATGGATTTCCGTTGTACTGAGAATGACTGCAATATGCTGGAGGAGAGAGTGACTGAGGAAGAGATAAGGAGGGTTTTATTTTCTATGCCTTCGAATAAATCTCCTGGGCCTGATGGGTTCCCTTGTGAGTTTTTCAAAACGGTTTGGTCTGTGATCTCTGCTGACTTTGTTGTGGCAATTTAGTCAGTCTTCAGATATGGATTTCTACCTAAAGGAGTTAACTCAACCATTCTAGCTCTTATACCTAAGAAGATTGATTCTCTGGAAATGAAAGATTACCGTCCTATTGCTTGCTGCAATGTGCTTTACAAAGTGGTGTCAAAGATTTTAGCAAATCGTCTCAAAAGAGTTCTCCCCAAAATAATTACTGAAAATCAGTCTGCCTTTATTCAAGGAAGACTCTTGATGGAAAATGTGTTGCTGGCATCTGAGTTAGTCAAAGATTACCATAAAGACTCAGTGTCTCCTCGTTGTTTGATGAAGATTGACATCTCTAAGGCTTTTGACTCTGTTCAGTGGGATTTTGTTCTTAATGCTTTGGCTGCTTTGGGTTTTCCAACTAGGTTCATCCACTGGATAAGACTCTGTATCACAACTCCCTCTTTTTCTATTCAGGTGAATGGCGACTTGGCGGGATATTTTCAAAGTACAAGAGGTTTGAGGCAGGGATGTTCTCTTTCGCCTTATCTCTTTGTCTTATGTATGAACGTGTTGTCTCATGCTATTGATAAAGCTGCAAAGGAGAAAAGATTCAGCTATCATCCTCGATGTAAGTCTCTGGGAATCACTCATCTCTGTTTTGCGGATGATTTAATGGTGTTTGTGGAAGGTTCGAAAAGCTCTATTGAGGGTGCTTTACGAGTGTTTGATGAGTATGCTCTTACCTCGGGTTTGAGTATAAGTGTTGAGAAGTCTACCCTTTTTATGGCTGGTGTTGATGAGATTGAAAGATCCAGCATCTTGGAAAATTTTACTTTTGCTGTTGGAACCTTGCTCGTGCGTTACCTTGGCTTACCGTTGATGACGCAATCTATGAAGAGTCAGGATTATCTCCCTCTTACTGAGAAGATCAGAAGCAGAATTAGCTCCTGGACTTGCCGTTTCCTATCTTATGCCCGAAGACTCCAGTTAATTCAAGAGTGCATTACCTTTTGAGACACTTTTTTGTCTTTCTTTACATTCTAGGACACTTCATGCTGGTAGAACACATTTACATTAACCAGGAGACTTTTTAGACAGAATTACCCTTTTTGTTTATTTGCTTTAGTTACTTATTTCGTTTAGTTAGTATTTATGTTTGTTACTTTTTGTTTATTTGCTTTAGTTATTAGTTAGTTTCATTTTGCTATGTTTTTTTGTTACTTCATATTTTAAACTCTAACATATATAAAACAAAAATAATTATCAACTTAAATAAATCATTCTACCTTTTAACATTCATTATCATATATATATTTTATATATACTAACATTTATGCAAAAAAATATATGGATATGGACGTCAAAGTGTATATAAGTTATAACTTATATGTGGACATGGACATTAAATATAAACACTATAACATTAACGTCCATACTTTGAGCAAGTTAGATCTATAGTAATTACATATATTGATATAGAATTATGGAATGCAAGACTAAGTGGAAGTAGGTTAACCACGTTTTGGAAACAAATCCGTTTGCATTTTTTTGTCATTAAATCAAATTCGTTTGCTCAACATGTTTTTAAAATAGGTACCTTTGCAATCAACTTTATTTAATTCTCAGATCTCTGATACGAAGAGAAAGTTTTCAACGTTTGCTCAATATGTTTCTAAAACATAATTACAAGCATGGATGTAGTGTATAATTGTAAAATTTGGAACTAATTAAAAGAGAAATCTGCACATTAGAAAATTTGGGGAAAAAACAAAGACTTACATAAATACAAGGACCAAATATGAAAATTTATGATTCTTGATTGCAGATGGAATGAGCTTTCCTCGATAGTGACCTCAAGATCAAACCACCTAGCTTCACCGAGATGATGGTCGAGACTTCGCAGACATGAGTTGAGCACGACGAGGAGGCGACTTGGACGACAGATCTCATGGTGGAGGCTGAGCATGGCGAGGAGCTCGAACCACCGCAGCTGAGCACGACGAGGATCTCGAACCGCAGCTTCATAGAGATCATACACGACGGTGTCAAGCTCGGAATCCAACTACCACAACTTAACGAGATGAGTTGAGCACGGCGAGGAGCTCGAACCACCATAGCTTCCCCAAGCTCATCCATGGCCTGGTTCACCGGCCGTCTAGGGAGAGGAGCTGACTCATTTACTGTCATCGTTCTCCAATCTCTCTCCTTTCTTTTCTTCTTCTCATCCTTAAATTTCTCAAAACAATTGATGGTAAGAGATGAAGATATAGATTATTTTTTCTTACATTATCAAAATTTCATACAAGATCATTTGCCTCTCTTTGTAATTAAGGTTCACAGATTTGGGAACGAGAGAAAATAAAAAAAATTAGGGTGTATGGATTTGGGAATGAAAGAAATCAGAAACAATGATTTCAAAATAAAAACATGAGAGAGAAACAAAAAAATAATTGGACGAAAGCAAGAAATGCGTAATGAAAGGGCATAAGGGACAAATTACAAAAATAAAGTGTGCCAAAAGCAAGAAGTGTCTCTGTATGTAATTGCAATGTCAAAATGTGTCTCGAGGTGTAAATTTTTCTTAATTCAATCGGTCTTGATGAGTATTGTGAACTTTTGGGCTGGAGTTTTCAGGCTTCCAAGCAGATGTATTAAGGATGTGGAGAGTCTCTGTTCTTCTTTCCTCTGGTCTGGACCAGATTTAAAAAGTTCAGGGGCTAAAGTGGCTTGGTCTGATATATGTGTAACAAAAGAGGAAGGCGGTCTTGGTATTCGAGCTCTGAAGGAAATCAACAAGGTTTATGGTTTGAAGCTGATTTGGAGAATGATCACTGGTGATTCTCTTTGGGGAAAATGGATTAAAGGTAACTTGTTGAAGTCAAAAAGCTTTTGGGAGGTGAGCTCTAATACGCATATTGGGTCTTGGATGTGGAGAAAGATCTTAAAACTGAGAGACATTGCAAAAAATTTCTACAAAACTGAAGTGGGCAATGGGCGCCATGTTTCTTTCTGGTTTGATAGATGGTCTGATAAGGGCACCATTTATGATATGGTGGGGTCAAATGGTATAATAAATATGGGCATTGTAAGAAGAGCAACTCTGGCGGAAGAAATTCTTGGTGTTAGTAGAAGGAGGAGAAGACATCGAGTTGATTTATACAATGAGATTGTGAGTGATCTGTTGGGTATGAGATGGAGGCTGAGTAATGACGCTGAGGACTGTAGTTTGTGAAAAAGAGAGGCAGGTTATAAGAGGTCTTTCTCTACTTTTGAAACCTGGAAGTTGATCCGTAACCCTAAGCCGAAGTGTCAATGGGCTCAGGGTGTTTGGTTTCGTCAAGCCACACCTAAATTTGCTTTTATAACCTAGATTGCTATGAAAAATAGGCTTTCTGCCATGGACAGAGTGTCTATTTGGAATCATGGGTCTGATACTGCTTGTGTGTTGTGTAAGACTGCCTCAGAATCCAGGAACCATCTCTTTTTTGCTTGCTCTTATGCTGGTCAATTGTGGTATTTTCTTATGCAAGGAATCCTGCAACGGGAGTATACATGTGATTGGTTTGAACTTGAAAGGTTGATATCGAATAGGCAAATGGAGAAGAGGAAGCTCTTTTGTTTGAGATATTCTTTTCAAGCAGCCTTATATGCAATTTGGAGGGAAAGAAATAAGGTAAAGCATGGTGATAAGTTAATGCAAATCTCTGTTCTGCAGAAGCTGTTGGATAAGAGTATTCGTAACAAGCTAAGTCTGGTGGTTCAAAAAGGCGTTAAGGGCTTGGAGGGTGTACTTCAGTATTGGTTTCAAACAAGATTATGAAGGGGTTTGGCTATTTGAATAGAAGGTCTAGGCATATTGTGTTGGGATCTTTTTGGGTTGGTTTGCTTGTTTCTTTGCATCTTCTTGATCTTAAGATATTACTCTTTTTCCTCATCGAAGGTTTGTCCCATTTGGGTTTACTTTGATGAAGTTTTAATGAGGATATTCTTAAGATCCAATTATGACTTGTTTCACATGGTCATAATTGAGGGAAGGTGTTTGGTTTTTGGGTCATGGGGTTATTTTATATTACTTTAGGGTCTGGTTTTTGTTTCTATTTTGCTTCGGTAGCACTATTTGTGTAAACAAGGTTTTTTTTGTTTGAATAAAATTTAAAATTCTTTCAAAAAAAAAAAAATAGTATAGATACGAAGTGAGATATTAGTTGCTCCACGTTGTTTTTACCGTATCATATATCTCACAACAGTACAACACAGTACTGGATATATTTATTTATTTATTTCATTCTAATTTTACATGGCTATATTTTGGGGCCAAGGTAGATTCTGAACCAAGCGGTAGACAATGCAAAACTAATTTAATTGGTTTTTTTCTTTTTGTTTCCGGTTTCCTTTTTGTTGACGAGCTCGTGGAACATCTCAACTCTCCGGCCGTTTAGGGGTTGACATGGTCTTGCATTGTACTTGTAAGAAATATCCAGTGGAGATCTGAGTACTTCTATTTGTTCCTTTGACATTGACCTCACCTACATTTAATTATAATACATAGCAATAAGAAATCAAGATGTCACATTAATTTGGATCGTTTCCATATAAAAATGTCAAATGAACATGAAAGTAGTAGCTACTAGCTAGGTCTTATCCATCGTACATCGAAGTTCTCTATTTCATTCATACGTATATAATAAGTTTGACATAAACCAACAAAAACACTCGAACCCGTTGAGTATCGACTGTATCTTGAAAAATACATAGAGGGTTTTGTATGAGATTTGAAACTTGGAATCGTTAAGTACACTACATTCTTGAGGTCAGCAGATCCATTTTATATGTATATTAAATGATTTACACTCGTATCCAAAATATAAAAAAAATGATTTATACTCATAGTGAAATCGTCTTCAAACGTTTAGAGGCCTAATTATATAATTTATATATTTGTTTCTAGCAAAAAAATGAACATAAATTGTTGTAATTTAGAGAGTTTTTGAAATGGGTAAAGTTTCATAAAATTTACTAAAATCCAAACCTGGATTATATATAAAGTGTAGTATTAAAAAGATAAGTAATGTTTCCTTAATTTCTTCTGTTGAATTATTTGTTTAACCAAAACCAAAAGAATTTGGTTTGAAAAGGTTACCTTGCCAAGAATGGTCCAAAAGAATTTGGTTTGAAAAGGTTACCTTGCCAAGAATGGTCCACGATACGTTTTCGGAGCAAGGAGGAGTAGTGAGTGAACCAACGTATCTGTAGTACTTTCGAGTCTTACGTTCGATATGTCTTGTGTTTATTTTTCCTACTTCCACTTGTGCTGTTTGGTTCCCTTTCAACCTCTCCTCCTTTAGCTTCACCAATTTATCCTTCATCTAATCATTTCACTTATATTATTAACGTCATACATTAATTAAGCCAATATACATATATATATACATGTATAACTTATACGTATAATATACTAATATATACCTAAACAGTATACCTGAGAGAGGAACGGGTCTTCACTGCCGACTTTAAAGACGCTTGCTACCACAGCAAAGCTCCCATCTTTTGCTTGGTGTACCATGTGTAGCTCAGCTGCATATCTACGTTATTTTTCCTTTTAGTTAATATTTTCTTAAATACCAAAAAATGGCACGTCTACAGAAGCTTTGTAGAAAAAGTAAAAAATAAAGATAAGAGTCCACATGTGCTTAAGGAGAAAACATTACATACGGATGTCACTAAACCAATGATAAAATATTTAATGGTTACTAAATTTTGATCTAAGCAATTTACCAAAAAAAATTGATCTAATCGTAATTAAGATTATTTTCAACAATTTATTTTTATGTTTAGTTATTTTAGATAAAATATAATTATAAATATAAAAAAATTAAGATATATGAATTATGTAGTTTACTAATCTTAATAATCCCGTGGCTATCCACCACGAAACACAGATTAAATCCGATAAATATTGAACGATATATAAACAAAAAAAACTTACTGGACTCCATGGAGATGGTGTTCAGAAGGAGTGTGCCAATGCATTTGCTTTAAGGTATAGTTCTTATTGTCTATCACTACATCTCCTGCTCCTTCCCCAAAGAGCATGGCGACATTGCAGACGTGGTTCACGAGCGTTGCATTAGTGGTGTAGTAATCGCGGTGCAGCGATTCCAATCCACTGTTTAAAAAGGTTTGTCTCCTTCGGATATCAATCGGAGATTGCAGTTTACCGACCGAGCATTTAGTGTAGTTAGGGTTTAAGTATCCCCATCTGTATGGTCCATCTTTTCCTACATATCCAAACCCTACTCCTTGTGTCTCTGCTCATTCCCAATTTGTGTAGTGTTAAAAAGTTATATTCTCTACTTAACAAAGGAAATAGCTAATGCATTTAAGCCGTTAGTTTAATCTCTTAAAGATTACTTTGGCCGTTTTATGATCGATTGATGTCTTGTATAGGACGACACATATACGTCTATTGTGGCGGATGTAGATGCGTCAAGAAGGTGGCACTTGCCACCATGCAATTTTTAAATTCTTTATGATATACCCAAATTTTATCTATTTTTCCCTATTAAATATCATATTATAGCCTAATTTTTTTGGTTTATTTTTGATTTTCCTCCAGAACATATTTCTACATCTGCCACTGTCGGTCCCAACTTAGAACTTAAGATCCGTCTATTTTAAAACTTTTTTTTGAACATTCTAAATTTGTTTATTTGTTCTAAATAATCTTATGGACAATTCTCACAAATTGTCAGTTTTAAGTGTTTGTCACAAAAATAATATTCAAAATAAAATGATTAAAATAGCTTCTTATTTCAAAATTTGTAATATTTATTTTCTATTTTTAAAACTTGAAACTTTAAACCCAAAATCTCATCTTTTAACTATAAACCCTAAATCTAGATTAGTTAATTCAAGAATATAAATACATATTTACCATTTAATAAAAAATTATTTTGGACATTTTCCTACTTATAAACTATTTTAATAAAACTAAATAAAAAAATTCTATCCAAAGAAATTTATCTAACCTTATTGATTGTCCATGCATAATAATCTATATACATATATATATAATAATATATCACTATAATTATTAATAATTAGGAATATATATATATATATATGTGTGTGTGTGTGTGTGTGAGAGTATATACAAATATGGAGGGACAGAGAAAGAGTATTAGCATTACGAGCATTTGCAGGGGCAATGAAGAGGAGGACCATAGCAAAGAAACAGAGCTTAGTAATCATCATGTTCTTATTAATCTTGTGTTTCTAGTCCTGTTTGGTTGGAACCTACTAAGAACAGGGAGGAAAAGGCGTGCATTAGAGAAAACCAGATTCAGAAGAAGACAAATTTTACAAATTTGTAAAAACTAGTACATGAGTTTTTTTTTTTTTTTTTTAACTAAACCTGTACGTGGAGATAGCAAAGTGTTTGATCAGCTTACTCTGGCTGACACGGCTGGACTGGCTCTGCTATTTATAGCCCTCTCTTCTAATACTATTTTTTTTTTGTTCAAAAAGCAATAACCACTAAAAATAAAAATAAAAGTTAAAGAAATACTTTAAAAATGTTGTCCATGCGATTCTTTGTGGTTATATATTCGATAAGGAAGCATAACTTCGGGTTGAGGGGCACCATAAGCATATAATATTCGTTAATAGTATGTTTTTCTCATCATATGATTAAACGTGAACTTTTTATTTGTTCAACAGTGGAATATAGTACTTATTTCTTGTATTATTATATTTATTCCAAATGTGTGGTTAACTTTCTGGGTTCAATGCTATACATAATACATATGGTATGTAGGTCAATTTGTAGTAAAAGTGTTAGACAAGAACAATATTTGTAGTAAGAATACCTCATATACTATATATACATATAGGCGTCTATTCAAGAAATATTTTACATGTCAGGGGGTAAACCGGACAATTGATTCAAGCACATTCTCTTCTTTAACAATTACAAGTGAAATAGTGAATGATATCTAAAACATTTGGTACACTAGGGCAAAGTATCATTGTAGTAACTGAAATAAACAAATTATTTGCTACTTATAGTTTTATCATTTATTGTTGATTTATTGATTTTAACGCTAATTTTTTTTCCATTAAAAACCTATAAACTAAAAATTTAATGTACATGGCAGTTCTCCTGTTACTCAAATTGATAGTAATGAGCAAGATGATAAAATAGGGTATATGAGTGATGCTACTGTAAACCTTCACGAGGTATAAGGCCAATAAAACCACTTCAAATTTCAAGATATGGAATGGAACATCCTTCCATCTTCTTAGTAGTTATATCCTTGTGTTGTTTCATTAAGCTTATGAATCATAAGTCTTCTTTTTTTGTAAGCTAATGTTTGGCTGAATATAATGCATGTCTCATCATACTTTCTCAAATTTTATGGTTGTTTCAACTATACATTATATGTTTTTAGTATTTTAATTTGAAAGTCTTTTTACAAAAAAATAAAATAATGTAAAAATCTCCAAATTTATTTTATTCAATGGACTGACCTTTTATATACATTCCGGTAAACTAAATCATTGATACCGATAAATATTTAGTTTGGTAATTAGAAGTATATTTGGTTGAGGTTGATTGCTGGCGTTTCCAAACTTCGTCGAATCTTTGTCAAATTTTGACAAACCCTTGCACTGTTGATATGATCCTATAATGTACGTTCCTTATATTTCCTGATAATATGGTCCTATAAACGTTCATAATGAAATAAATTGAGATGGACACAGGTGTTGATCGGTTGAGTTCTATCTCTCATCCTATCAATTATGTTTATATATTTCACAGAAAATAATAAATATAAAACCGATAAATTATGTTTGTTAAATCAATAGTTATAAGATTCTAGCTAGCTTGAGTATACTTAATTATAAAAAAATGGTGAAATAGAAATAATGAATGCAAGAAAAGAACCAAAGTTAAAGTGATTCATGATATAAACCACATATTCTCTTGTTTTTCATAATCCCTTTATTCGTGAAATGACATTTTAACGTTATTTCGAAATAAAATTATTAAAAGTATAACCATAAATGCAATATTGTCGTAGTAAAAGTTACTCATCCAAGTTAGTATTTCTTTTATTTGCATGGATCAGATGCGAAGATAACTAGTGGAAGTCTTCAAATGTTTTTCTTTTCTTCTGCAAAGGCCTAGAGACTAGGGTTATTGTAACGACCGTGACCCATGGGGGATAGCCCATTTATTTATTTAATCAAAATCTATGTGTAGGTTATTTTATCCCATATTGGAAATTTAGAAAATTAACCTCCCTTCCCTTCCCCTATATAATAAACTTCTTCTTTCTCTTTTATTCTCATCAAGTCAAAGTATTTCTTTGCGTGTGATAAGTTGTTGAATTATTCGACGACCTGTCACTAAGTATTTTTTCTGGCGAGAGTTTCGGTCAAGTCACCGGGCGAGTTTTTGGGCGATAGTTCCGGTAAGTTTATTGCTTCTCTATTTCTAGTTTTGGAAAGTTCTAGTTAGAGGAATTTCTAGTTTAGGAAACCGCCATTTTAGGGAATCTGCTATTTTAGAAAAGTTTCTATTTTAGGAAAGTTTCTATTCTAGGAAAGTTTCTATTTTAGGAAAGTTTCTATTTTAGGAATGTTTCTATTTTAGGAAAGTTTCCATTTTCGGAAACTTTATTTCCTGAGACTTTGAGCCTAAGTCGTTGATTCCCTCGTGTTGCAGTTGACGTCAGTTGACCATCTTCTGTTGATCATTCCAGCCAGTGACTAAGGTGAGGGCTATTCCGCTTAAATCCTGAACTAGTTTAGTACTACTATTATGAAAAGTTTAGTTGCGAAACATGATCCGTCTCTGTGAATCGAGTCTGTTTGAGAGTCTTATTTGTTGATTTATTGTTATTGATTGTTAAACCGGACATAGGATAATAGAGGATTCAACGGTTGTGTGACATGATTGATGTTAAGAATTACTATATATATGTAACTATATACGAGTCCATGTGTGAGAGATTGCGGGGGTGCAGAGACGTCTGTACTAGCGACGCCTTGTTTGAGGAGATTGCGGGGGCACAGAGACGTCTGTGCTAGCGCCGCCTTGTGTGGAGATTGCGGGGTACAGAGACGTTTGTACTAGCGCGCCGTAGAGATTGCGGGGGTACGGAGTGGACTACCGTACTAGCGACGCCTGTAGAGTTATATATGTATATCCGTATGAGGAGATTGCGGGGTGCAGAGATTAGCTATGTACTATCATCGCATTGATTGTTGTTGTNACTAGCGCGCCGTAGAGATTGCGGGGGTACGGAGTGGACTACCGTACTAGCGACGCCTGTAGAGTTATATATGTATATCCGTATGAGGAGATTGCGGGGTGCAGAGATTAGCTATGTACTATCATCGCATTGATTGTTGTTGTATGGTGCTCTAGGCATATGTTTGTTCTGTGAGGTGTAATAGACACGGTGTTGGTCTCATGCTAGAGCTAGGCCTACATAGTCGTAGTGCTATGTACTGAGTTAGTGGTTTGTGGTTTAGCATCCCATACCTCACTGAGTGACTCCCCTGTTACTCACCTCTCTTTCTTCCCCCATTTCAGGTGATACTGACGATCAGGAGTGATCATTTCGGACTGGTGCTTTTGGGAGTTTTATTCATTTATTTTCAGACTTATTTTTATCGTTATTTTGAGATTTATTATGTTATTTGGATTTATGGAGTTTGGAGATGATTTATGCGATTTAATAAATGGAGATTTCAGACATTATTATTTATTTTATTATTTTGGAAAATGCGGGTGTTACAATTTGGTATCAGAGCGGGTTCCGTCCCGGCTCCGACCCGGGACGGCGATTTATGGGACGTGGATTTCAATAATTTTCAATGTTTTTGGGATTGGGAACTTTTGAAAAAAAATGTGTCACCTTTCTATCCAGTATCGTTTGATTAGTTGTTAATGTTTCGGACGTGTTTCCGCTTTGTAGGAGAAGATCAAATTTCCGTTCGTTCCTTTGTGTGTCACCTCGTGTTCTTTTTTTCCTTTGATATCATTGAAGTTCTTTTTGATTTCCTTCTTGGAATTCGGGACGAATTCCGATTAAGTGGGGGAGAAGCAATAAACTTAGAGAGAATTATATTCCTGAGACTTTGAGCCTAAGTCGTTGATTCCCTCGTGTTGCAGTTGACGTCAGTTGACCATCTTCTGTTGATCATTCCAGCCAGTGACTAAGGTGAGGGCTATTCCGCTTAAATCCTGAACTAGTTTAGTACTACTATTATGAAAAGTTTAGTTGTGAAACATGATCCGTCTCTATGAATCGAGTCTGTTTGAGAGTCTTATTTGTTGATTTATTGTTATTGATTGTTAAACCGGACATAGGATAATAGAGGATTCAACGGTTGTGTGACATGATTGATGTTAAGAATTGCTATATATATGTAACTATATACGAGTCCATGTGTGAGAGATTGCGGGGGTGCAGAGACGTCTGTACTAGCGACGCCTTGTTTGAGGAGATTGCGGGGGCACATAGACGTCTGTGCTAGCGCCGCCTTGTGTGGAGA